GGGAGAGAGGTCCAGAGTCTGGGGGCCACAGCAGCAAATGATCTGTCACCTTTGACCTTTAGCCTGGTGCTGCACAACCAGTAGGCTTTGATCACTGGACCTCAGGGACCTGCTGGGGGTGTAGGGACTGAGAAGATCACCAATGTAAGATGGTGCTTGTCCATGTAAGGCCCTATAGACCAGAACCAGGATCTTGACATGAACCCTGAAGGTGACTGGCAGCCAGTGAAGCTGGAGGAGAAGCGGGGTGATGTGGGTGTGTTTGGAGGACTTGGTCAGAAGCCGAGCACAGGCGTTCTGAACCACCTGTAGACGGTTCAGGGAGGTTCTGCTCAGACACGTGAAAAGAGAGTTACAGTAGTCTAAGCGTGAGGAGATGAAGGTGTGGAGAACTGTCTCAAGTTCAGAGCGGGACAGAATGGGACTCAGCTTAGCAACGTTCCTGAGATGGAAGAAGGAGGAGCCAACAAGAGAACTGACATGAGAATCCAGGGTGAGAGCTGGGTCAAAGGTCACGCCAAGATTCCTGACAGAAGGTTTGGTGTGGGAAGCAAAACCTGAGTGAAAATCTTCATGGCTTATACGAGGGAGCTAAAGTAGGCTATGACGTCCCAGAGTGATGGTGACCTGGCTTTGTTGCTACTCTACTTACAGAGTGGCTCTTTCACTTCATGGCTTGTTTAGTCTCCGTTGGTTGGTGTTAGTTAGCTTGTTATTAGCGCTAGGCTAGCTACAGCAGGGTTGTTTACAACAAATGTAATTCCGCTTTCAACTAGTAGGCGGGAGAGGAGGAAAACCTAGTGTCAGTTTAGAAGCTTCACAAAACACTTCCTTTCATGAAGCATTGTGTTAGGGTGACCTTAATGACTACTCAGTATTGACTATATTGTAAATATCATAGCATTTTGATGGTGGGCAGTCCTCTTACCTCCCCTGTGTGGTTGAGACTCAGCTTCGGCAGTTTATTTTTCCCGTTTCCAGAAGTTCCTCCAAAGGATTGGCTGCTGTTAAACCCCTCTGTGGCCACTAGGGGGGGTTTAAGCTGGGGGGAGTCGCTGGGTACCTGGTCCTGGCCGTCCATTGGTCGAACATACGCCGTGGGTTTCTGCTGCACCGGGACTGGCTTCCCCGACAAGTTACCAGGTGGGAAGGTAGGTGTGGTCAGTCCAGAAGTGGGTGTGGTTAAACCGGAAGTGGGAGCTGCAAGAACTGATGTGGAAGCGAGCGGGGAGGAAGCTGAGGAAAGGTGACAACTGGTTTCATTTTCAAATGGGGACGATTTGAAGGGCCCACCGTTTTCGGCGCCAGTGGAAGACTTAAAGTGGACGCCGTCTAGGGTGGAGGGTCGAACGTTTCCACCATCTGTAAGAGGGAAAAGACATGAGGAGGTAACGAGAGCCATAACTGAAAAACACCCGCTGATCTTAAAGAATGCCCTGCTTTCTGTAATCAAAACATCCCATAATATTAATTACCTACAACCTGTGGTCTGTATCACACAAGACTAGCTAATGAATTTTTACTTTTCCAGTTGATGAGGAATGTTTGGGAGTTTTGAACCCCTGGTTGTTTTTTATGGTGATGAGGTCCTAACTCCACCCATGAATCAACATTAAAGGCACATTTCCACAGAAGCTCAGGTCGGAGAAGCATCTCTTTTGTCACAGCTCATGGGTTGCTGATCTGCACTGACTCTAATCTTTGTAGGGCTATAGTATTTAGCTAAAAACACGTTCAAAGCTCAAGAGAATGAGACTCTATGAACCAAGCCAGGAAATTAGGAATCAAATCAAATTACATTCAAGCAATAAATGAGACTCAGGGGCCGACTTCTCTTGAACTCACCTGAAAGGGGTTTGGATGAGAGGCACGAGTGCCTTTGAGAGGAGGAAGAAGAGGATGAAGACGAGGAAGAAGGGCTTGAATCGTCTTTCAGGCCCAGTTCATCTTTCAGAGAGCTAAACAGCTCCTCATGCCTTTGCAGCTGTTGCTGTTCCTCTAATAAAGATATCTTGCCTCTACTTCCTGTGGCGCCTGCTGTGACCTGCCCCTGACCGTTCTGCCCCGACCCAAGGATGAGGCCCGTCGCCTGGGTGCTCTGTCCGTGGCTCCCCCTGGACCAGTCCATGGAGCTTCTGGTCTTTTTCAAATTCTGGTGTGGGATCGTCGTGTTCGCCGTCGACGCGGTGACAGCAGGAGGCTGCATGGAAGCTGAGGATGAAGACGATGCACTTGCTGTCCTCTTGTCCCCGGCTCCCTCGGCTCCCCCTCCACCACCCACGCCTCCTCTCAGAGCCTCGTTGAAAAGCTGGGACTCCACGTTGGACCTGCCTGTTGCACAGGAGCTCGGTGTTTGCTGCTGGTTGTTGGCTGCAGCGCTGCCTTTGGGGATCCCCACCAAGTGGCTCTGGTTGGAGTGGCTGGTTAGCAGGTCTTTCATTTCCTCGTAGGAACCCAGCGTGTTCTGGACACGACTGGCCAAAGCATCACCTTTATTAGTCTGACAGGAGAAAGGGAAGAGGGGGAAGACAAAGAGGAGGGAGAAACAGAAGCATATGAATTATATCTCCCATCTAGACTTGATGAAAAGCCATCTGGAAAGGAAAAGTGAGAGATGGATGGGGTGACCACTGACCAGACATCAGGATGAGATGATTAATTAAACCCACGCTATCTTTAAGAGGGTCCAGTCCAGGCTGAAGCAGTAATATTAATGGGGCAGGAATCATTATTAGCCTGACCTGAGATTCTCAAACTATCACTGCTTGGAGTGGTTAGAGTGGTTTCTACACAGAGTGTGTGTGACCGTACCGTACCCACGATGTGCCAAAGCTCAGAGATTCCTCCAAATGGCTCAACAGCTCGTTTAGAGTCGGTCCAAGTCTTTTCTAAAATGACGAATGACACTTTGACGTGTGCATTTGAAGCTTTTAAAAGCAACAATGAGCTTTCAAGAGTTTTAAAGTGACCCTAAGCAGTTTTTCACACTTTAAAGAGGGACTGCACACCACCAGGACGCGTAACTCCTCACCTAGACACAATTTGAAAAATGCTATGGATATAGACCTATATGGCCCTTGGATTGGATAACAGCAACACAACTCTACCACTGACTCTATTTGCTCTCTGCAACACTGATGCTTTATCTCCAGTGATACCACAAGCCTGGAGAAGTTCTGCTGTGTGGTGAAGTTGCTAATGCTAACATTAGCTTCTATTAGCTGTTTCCTCAACATTAAACTAACAACAGCCTTCCTGGTCGTGAGTCAAGATGGGTGAGTCCTAGGGATGGGTACCGAATTCGGTACTTTTTAAGGTATAGACCGAGCACACATTCACGTCATTTCAAACGGTGCCTCGTTTCGGTACCCGTCCTTCTTAACGAGAACTTGCCTAGACAGCTGCGCATGCGCAAGAGCGTTTTGTCGTCGCTCGCTGCGAGCGAGTTGTAAACAGAGCAGCATGGTAGAAAGAACGCACGCTAACGCTTGGGTCCACTTCACTAAATGTGATGGGTAACTGGGTGATGATGAAACCAGCGACAACGATCTAAGTGAGACATCCTCATCTTAATCTGCTCCGGTAGGTAAATATAATTAGCTTGATATGTTAGCTTCCGTTTCGCTAATGGTGCGTTCGCTTTCTCCTCGGAACTCCGAATTTCCGACTAGAAGAACATGAACGCGCTCTAAAGTTTGGTTTCACTTTACTAAATGCGACGGGTGATTGGGTGAAGATGAAACCAGCGACAACGATCTAAGTGTGAGGCATCATCGTTTTAATCTGCTCCTGCAGCTAAATAAACTGTTTAAGATAACGTTAGCTTGATAAGTTAGCTTCCATTGCTACCATTGTTATCAGCTAATGGTGCGTTCGCTTTCTCCTCGGAAATTCTAACTTCCCAGTAGGAAAAATCAAATGAAAAAAGACGGCAAAAGGAATGAAGATACACAGTAAATTTAGTTCACAGTAAAGATGTTTGCTTCAGTTTAATTATCAGCTTATAAAACTACAAGGACCATGTTAAAATACAAACAGTTGAATGTTATTTATCGTGATATTTATCAAATATTGTTATATATTGTTAAAAATATATATCTAATTATAAAAGAGAATTAAAATAATAAACACTCAAAAGTATCGAAAATTGGTACCGTTAAGTACCGGTATCGATTCCTAGGTACCGGGAATTAGTACCGGATCGATTCAAATGTCAAAGGTACCCATCCCTAATGAGTCCATAAATGTAAAATGACAGTGTGACGTAGATCTGTTAGAGCTGACAGGCTTTACAAGTTCCAGCGTCTCACTGTCTCTCAGAAGCTAATGCCGGAGACTATTTTCAAGTTCAGCCAGCATGAAAAACTTAGAGTGACTGACTATAATCAGAAAAGATGTTTTTTCAGTGTTCCACCCCTTTAAGCTGAGTTCATCTTTGGTTGGTAAACGGCGGAGTTTAGAGGATCTCACATGATGGGCTAGCACTCAGTGGAAGCTTCAGTTGCACCAACCCTTAGCTACATCTCTGTAAAACTGACTGAGTCGTGGTCATAATTCTACGAAGGCCAGCTAGAATTGAGCAGACTTCATAATGATTTACTTCTGAAAATTTAGTTAGAATCCATCAAGTGAATTATGGGTAGATTTCATCCTAGTTGGACTAAACCAGGGCTATTCCATTCCGGGCCTCGAGGGCCGGTGTCCAGCACATTTGAAAGGTTTCTCTGGTCCAACACACTCGATTCAGCAGCTCATCAGGCGCTGCAGAAGCCTGTTATCACCTACTAATTGAAATCGGGTGAGTTTAAACAGGGTTAAAACCAAAACCCTCAAGGTATGAAATTGAATAGCCCTGGACTAAACCAACACAGAAACACCCCCTAACCTTAACCCCAAAAACATCACCTGTGGTTGGACTCTGGTGGCGGGAGATAAAGAACAAAAAGACCATAAGATATTTTTTCTACCAGAACCACAGACAGTGAAGTAGACTGTGTTGAAGAGCTGAGTTTACAAGCAAATAATTTAAGTGTGACATTTAATCATGAATTACAGAAAAACGATGAACAATAGGAGCGGTGAAGAAAATCAATGTGGAATGAGACCGTGTCATTTTATTCTGCGTCTGATTAGTGATCTGGTCAATAGGATCTCTCAGTAATAAGGGCAAGGTTGCTGACAGCCTCCCAGGCTAATTACCGCTGTGCTAACATGGTGAGATAGTGCCAAATGAAGGTAAAGTGAAAGGCTCCAGGAGGAGGGAGAGTGAAAAGAAGCTATCTGGTTTTCAACTGCAGGTAAGAAGACATTTATCTGGGTGAAAATCAGAGTCGAATAATGGTTTTTATGTCCAGGACGACTTCTCTGTGCAGGAATCTTGTGTCTGCTTTTGTTTTTCCAAAGCAAACAGCTTCAGTCAATAACCAAATAACCGTGTAATAACATGCAATGATCCATGAAGAGGTCTCAGCGCTGAGGAGGGAATTCTAAGTGTGTGTGTGTGTGTGTGTGTGTGTGTGTGTGTCTCAGAGAGCACTTTACAGCGTTACAAATTATTATAACACCATAACCCTATTTTCCTCTAATAGTGGGCCGTTTAAGCATCATTTCATGGTAATTACAAGTTTATGATTCCCTTTTATTCTATAAATCTATCAGTGTGACATGAGAACTCCATGTTTTGGTTTTTTCATGAGAAGCTTGTAGCCCAGGGCAAATCCAAACATAGGTGTTACCCCACATATTTGGCTGGTATCATGTGTTTAGTTTAGTGGGTAAATGAAACATCTGCACATTACAGCAGAAACAGGATGATGGGAGATGCTTTAGTGGTGATAATAAATATTTGAAACCAAAGTATTTCAAATGAGGACGAATAAAAAGGTGGAGTTCATTATGATGACACCATGAATGTCCCGCCCAGATCTAGACCCTATCCTCTTATTTGTATCATCACTACCTTTCTAGCAAGACTTTGAGTTGAGAAATGGTGGAATTATCAACAGTTTGGTCCAATCTTTCAAAAATACCATCATGTCTGATATGAGATCACAACATCTCACAAAACCCACAACCAGTCAAAGTCTGTGTTACAAATAGGGAAGTCCCGTTCCGATATCAATATCGAAAGTAATTTGATATCGGCCCAAAAAACAGTATCGGATTATATCAGACGGCATCAAAAATCTCCGATATAAGCAGTCCGTTAAGGTTCACATTTTGCAACCAATGGTTACAAAAATAATCCTTTTTTTCATACTAAATGTTATTGGATCATGTTCTCCGATTGAGTAATATTACTTGACCAAGCCTTTAATACATTTCACACTACGGTTTAGGTCAAAGTATGTATGATTTTTGCTGGTATCGTATCGGATTGATATTGGTATTGATAAATACTAAAGACTGCAATATCGGCATTGGCCGATGTTAGTCATTTTTTAACATGTCTGTATCTGTCCGATAAATAAAGTTTGGCCGATATTTACAACCGATATTTTTTCTATCTTTTTTCCATTTGTTTGTTTCAGAGGATGAGGGGGGTGGTGTGTATTCGTATAGTCATGTGACAGTGATAGTATACATACTAACATAAATTCAGCTTTAATGGTTTTCATTCAATAAAAAATCTGCTGATTTTAGAAGCACTGATGTCAGTGCATCGGCATAGGCACATATCGGTTATCGGCCATAACAGTGATATTATTATTGGATATCGGTATCACTAATCTCAACTCATGTTTGTGTGCTTGTATTAACTCATTCCCTGCCAGCTGCTTCCTGATCCATAAAGCCCTTCGCTGCCAGCGTTTTTCAGTTTTCCCTGTTTTCTGAAGAGTCACAGAATGTTGCACGCTAGGATGATGTCAACGCCAAAACTACCAAAACAAAGCGTAGACTCACCTCTTACATCAGGAAGAATCCAAGCGTTACGAGCGTTATGTGTTCTTTCATAATTCATTTCCAATTGTGATCAGCAGAAGCTTTTTCGATTCGTGCCTCACTTTTCTTTTACAGCAGCGGCCCAAAACGATCTCCTAACACATGGATGTTCTGCTTCCTGATCACTTGACGTGTGACGCACGCGGATGAAGATCGGCTTCAGAGCTGAGATGTTTGTTCTCACGGTGCGGGGGCTCGTCCGACGCCCACACAGTAAAAAAAATGCAAGTGACGACTTTAGAACGAGTTAATTAGTTGCAGTAAAATGTTTCTGAAAATTTTATAAAATACATCAAGTATTAAATGAGATATTTTACAAACAAAAACGCTTAATAATGCCCAGACAGGAAAAAACTACCTTGTACCTGTCAGTGTGCCCCAGGGCAGCTATGGCTACATCGTAGCTCATCACCATCAGTGTGTGAATGGATGAATGATGCACACTGGAGTCCTCTGACTCTGAAAAACGCTATACAAGTGAGGGTCATTTATCATAATTACAACAATCCATTAACCAATGACCAATTAGCTAATGACTAAACGGTTTTAAACATTTTA